ACATAGCTTACGCTGTCTTCATTTATGTGCATTTTGGACACCTTTTTTTTTTTAAAGATAAAGTAATAGTTCAAAACTTTAAATGTCAATGGAAATGCAGTTCTAATGTAGGTAAACAGGTTAAAATTATGTGATTTTTTTTTTACAGTAACATGAGAAAACTCCCTTATAACTCAAAGACATAGACTATAGAAATGAATCCACCTAGTTCACACAGCTGTGATTACAACTTTGTAAACTACGCACTCTAGAGAATTTAGAGTCACTGTAACAAAATGGAGGTGGACAACCTCCAATCTGTCAATATTAGGTTGGAATTAGGTAGGCGGATAATTTTAGCCTACATGGGTTTGTTCATTTCCATCACTCCAGGACACTCTAGAATAATTCAAGTCCCTTAAGGTAGGCCAACTATTCTGAATTCCTCCCTTTGTCTTCTATGAGGTTAATTTGTTCGCTCAGAACACACAGGAAGGAAAAGAAAGGAGCAATTATTGAGAGCCTGTGGCGCCTCAAGCACTGTCCCTCTTATATTTGAAACTAAATCTGCATGAAACAGATATGCTTCCCATTTTACAGGTAAGAAAACCTACGCTCTCAGAAATTAAGCACCTAGCCAAGAACCCACAGATTTGTGTTTGGATTAGGGCTTTCCACGACTCCAAATTTCACACAATTTCCTCTCCTGAATGTGATAGTTTAATTACATTTCAACTTTAAGAAAAGAATGGCCCTACAAGGCTTGAATCATTTCTTAAAAAGACTTATTTATGTGAGAGAGAGAGTGTGAGCGAGTAGGCAGAGGGAGAAAATCTCAAGCAGACTCCTCCCTCCCTGAGCACAGAGCCCCACATGGGGCTCCATCTAATGACTCATGAGATCATGACCTGAGATTTACTTTCTTTTTTTAAAAAGATTTTTATTTATTTATTTATTTATTTGACAGAGAGAGAGAGAGAGAGAGCAAGAGAAGGAACACAAGCAGGGGGAGTGGGAGAGGGAGAAGCAGGCTCCCCGCCGAGCAGGGAGCCCGATGTGGGGCTCGATCCCAGGACTCTGGGATCATGACTGGAGTGGAAGGCAGACACTTAACGACTGAGCCACCCAGGCGCCCCTGAGAATCACTTTTGATGTTAACCCTAGCTCAGTGATTCTTGGGGGATGTGTCACCCCTGGGATGTTTGTGATTAGAAATGTCTAAGGAGAAACACCGTGGTATTGATTCTGAGGGCCAAGGACAAATATGAGGATGTTTTATACACAGTTCACGGATCTTGCACCCAAACTGTTTAATAGTTAAATGAGATTTCTGTGGCATTTTGTAAAAGACTATCTTGGCTTGCTAAATGGCACTCCCCCAAATACTAGTATTAGAATCCAGTAGTAGGTGGAGACTTTTTTCTGTGATGTAGACTGGTGCTAAAACTCTAAAATGCAGAGCAATGACAAATGCACAGAATGGAGTAACATCAGTATTTTCAACTGTATTGTGAGAGAAGGAAGTATGCTTTTATGTTTAGTAGCAGTATTATCCTTCAGGTAAGAAATCAAAATGGTTGCTTTGGTGTCAATAGATGGTTGTTCAATATGTATTTGTATGGAGCCTTCTACGTTCCCATGTCCCCCTGGATAACAATAAGAAAACCTTTGCTAGTTTTTTCTCTAACCCAATAATAATTTAAATCAGTTGATACCTCCCTTCCATCTCTCTTTCACTCAGTTTCTTCTTTTTATAGTTGACCAAGGAATTAACTTTTCCTACCAATGTTAACAGAACTACAAACGCCCACATTTACAACATGTATCCATATCTGCATCCACACCCACATGTACCTATGTACATTCATAATAGTATGCACACATACACAACATCACGGAATTCCATTTTAAGAGATTAAGATATTAATTATGATAATAATCAAGAATTCACGGTATGCAACCCAATAAAGTCTAAAATGTTTTTTAAAAGTACTGCATAAAACTTTTGCTTCCAGGTAGGATGGAATGAGAAGCTGATAAGCTATGAGAACACATAGAAAATCTATACAAAATGTAAAAAATGAGCAGCTTAAAGGAATCAGAGCACCCCTGAAACCACAGGTCTAGGATTCCAAAGAGGAGAAAACCCTGGAGAGGTGAGGGAAGAAGTTGCAGCTGATTTTATTGATTGTGGGCTGTGGGAAAAACCCAGACTTGGCGTAGGTAGAAGGCCACTGCTGGAGCCAGCGAAAGTTGAGGAGTCTTGAGGGACTGGAGTGACAAAATATAGACTTGAGAGATCTTAAACACACAACCCATTATCCCATGATGACATTTGTCAGATTCAGAAGCTGCAAAGTCTAGAGGCGAAAAGCTAAGCTAAAACCCCTGAAATGCACCAGAGATTTGTCAGTCTTGCAATACTAAGAAGAAAAAATATTTTTAAAATATTGGCATTCAAGACCTGCCAAGAGGAAGGCCCCACATGAACACACTGGGCCTGGGTTTGTCCTGTGGACCAAATCCAGCCTGCCTCTATTTTCTGTATGGTCCAGAAATGAAGAACAATTTATATACTTTTAAATGGTTGCAAAAAAAAAAAAAAAATTCAAAAGAGTAGTATTTTGATATTCAATTTCCGAAAGTATATGAAACTCAAATTCTCTGTTCTAAAGCTTTATCAAAATACATCCATGCCCTTTAGTTATATATTGATTCTGCCTGCTTTTGCATAGTGAGGAGTTACAAAGAGACTGGATGAGCCAAAACACCTAAAATATATGTGACCTGACCTATTACAGAAGATGCTTGCTGATCTACAAATGGGCTGTTAGTTGAAAACCCTCAGCAAACATCCTGTAACAGAAACAAACCAGAGATAAATTGGGTCTTACCAAAACTCAACCCAACCACCTATTGGCTCAACTCCAGATTGGATTAAAGAATTAGCCTCCACTCTATCTCCCTGGCATAAAGAGGATAAATGTTTTCGGGAGAAAGATCTTATCATCTTGAGCCTCTATAGTTTTTTATATACATTTTACACACATTTTAGCATTCAGAAAATTACTTTGTTTGGCCTGAGCAGAATGTATAAAGAAGCCTGACTTAATTGGAGGGCTCAACAGCAATCCATTAACATCCAACGATTACACATGCAATTTTAACCTACATTTTAAAGAAAAATAAAACAGAAGTAAGAGTATTACCTGAAAGCAATTTTCTTGGCAAGAAAACTCAAAATATATGTCTGGAATAATAGTATTCTAACTAACTAGATGTTATTTTCCATTGTAAACCATTCCAATAATATATGGAATAAAATCTAGGAGTTATTTATTTTGTAGAAAATGAAGACAAATAGTAATAGGTTAGAAATCATTCTGAACTACAAGACTGTATTCTAGGGCTTGTTTTTTTTTCAATGACATGTGCTTCGCAGACAATGGCATCATATTTTAGGTACTTACTATCCTGAGAAGACAGACAAGTGCAGATGTGGGTAAAACTGATAACACTGGAATATTAAGATTATGCAATGTCTTTTGCCTACATCTCTCCCAGAATTTTAAAATTTGATTTTAATAGCTTTTTCTAATGAAAAGAATAAGACAGCTGAGAAGTTCAATATGTCATAGCACTGCAAATTGTCAACTTCATTTTAATTAGGATATACTAAGGTTTTACATCTGTTGCAAAAGTAAATTGTAACTTCCATACATAGCGGATCAGGCCACTTTAATTTATAACAGATTACAATCTGCAGCACACGTCTTATTGGTGTCAATGAAATATATAACCTAATGGTGCTCAAAAGTCCAGGTCACATAATAATTTTATGGGATTCAACCACATGCAGTCATGCTATTATACAGAAGGCATACAGACACAGCTATGAATATAAAATTTAATATAGATAGTGATTAAAAACTGGATATTTACACATTCCAATATGTACATATAAATGGTACCCTATAATTTTTAATTTAACCCAGTGTATAACTAGCTTGTGAACAGTTATCTTATGGAAACGAACAACGTTATCAAAATATTATCCGGGAAAGCCAGAACTATTGCTAAAATCAAAGGACTTTCAGAATTAGAGACTTTTTAAAAAGTTGGCGTTTCAAAAGTTTTTTTAAAAGTTGAAACTCTCCTCATCACTTTCTCCACCTTTAAGAGCTTCTCAATGATAGATGCCTGTGAACAGGACTCTAGAAGCTTGAGGAGATAAAGGCTGGATTGTGGTCAAATAATAAATCACAAGGAGAGTATGCTATTTATCATTTTAGCTAAATTTTAACTGCGCTTTTCACATTCAACTCAGTATCTTTAAAAATTACAAGTGTCATCTCTTAACAGACTTCATCCATATAATTACTAATTTCAAAGCAAGGTTTACACTCATCTAACCCTCAAAACTTCTCAAAAAACATTCTTCCCATACATGAAAACAGTCGATTTCTAAGCAAGTTAATATCATTACATTGGAAACCAGAAAATACTATGGATAACCCAGGATATTCATGCAATTGGTTACTTAATTCAAATAGTTGATTAAAGGAAAGTAGCCCTATGTATAGACCTTTATACCACGGATTCCTTAATAACTAGCAGAATGCCATGCCTTTAAACACAAAAATCACTATTATCTATAGTTCCACAATAGTGTTTCTCTATACATCACGTTCGATTCCAGTGAAAGGATCAGAGTCCTCAGAGAGACACATTGCAAACAAAAAGTCCTTAGAAGGTGGTGGAAAGTCAGGCCAGGAGTCACAGAGAACCAACAGAGATGACAGAGATGTGATATCCGGGACCATCTCCTCAGAGAGAGAAAGGAAAACCACATGGCACTGCAGAAAAGCTGTGTTAATTCTCTCTCCTAGCTGAGCATTAAATATTACATCTTTCAAACTGTCTCAACCACATGACTGCTTCTTGAGGTGAGACCCTCCTTTCAGAAACACAAACATGCTCACAGCGCAATGCAGAAACATCATAGAAACTTAATGACCTACCATTCTCTTTACACTCTTCTGGAGGTTTAGCCTTTTTCGCAAGTCGTGGATCCAGCCATGATGTTGTCTTTGTGTTATGGCTGAAAAGAAAAGAGATCACTCTGAACAGACACATACTGAAAGGAATCAAGTTTATTCCTTAAAAAAAAAGGAGGGGGGGTTGTTAGTCCAACAAAATTGCAATCGATACACTTAATTTGCTTACTGGTTCTAAGTAACCCTGAAGGTGGTGTAAGAGTAATTGTGCAAGGCAGCTGTAAATTTGGCAACCTCAGCTCCCTGTCCTCAAAGCAGCTATTTTTATTAAAATCAACTAGAATGTTGCCAAGTTAACCTCATTGAAAATGCAGAACTCATCCAGAGCAAAAGGAATTTATTACAAACACAGGATTCTCCAGTTGGAAAAGCACAGTTCGCAGGCTCTGATACTGTTTCCTCACTTTTGCAAAATAATTATTTTCATCTTAAACCTGCCCTTTTCATAAATAGTTGTTTTGTTGCTCTTTAACTCCAGAGCTGGCAGCGGCAGTATAAAAGTGATGAAAATTACAGCATGTTCTCGGGATGCCTACATTTTCTCAAAAAGTGATTAATAGCAATGTCATTAACCCATATTTAGCTGTGTTCCAACTAAATACTCTCAATCCGGCTAGGAAGGCAGAGGGTAAAAATGCCTGTATTCAAATGTTCCTAGAATGGAATTTCTGGGACCTAATAACAATTTTGATGACATTTGGGTTTGAAAAAAAAAATGTTTTCTGGGAAGCCTTTTGTCAGAAATTTTAAAAACAGAGGAGAGATGTTTTTAGAACAGTGTTTCTTAAAGAGGCCCTAGAATCACCTGCATTGGAGTTGGAGTCACCTGGTGATTAACAGTGCACATTCTGGGATTTAATAGAACGACTAAATCAGAATCTTTGAGGTTGAGCCACAAAATCTCCATCATTGATTGGCAAGCACTCCAGGTGATTTTTATGCACATTATAATTCGAGAACCACTCAAAAGCTCTTTGGAACTAAAGTCTTTGCTGTGTACAGCTGTCTCAAGTGATCTCATCTACCAATGGACAAATTATCAAGGATGTGACATTTGTGAGGGCTTCAGAAAAAGCATGAACAAAGTCACAGGTGTGGAAAAGTGTGAGGCTCATACAGGGAAGAGTCAAAAGGCCAATCAATGGAACATGAAAGGGAACAGTAGAAAATAGTATAGAAATATAAAGTAAAGCCAGATAATAGAGATAGCTGAACTGTAAGAAAGTCCAGTGATAATGATGAAAGTCAAATGATAACAATTTCACATGTATCTTCTCTTTCTTCTTTGAAATTTAACTATGAAATATAACTTATTGTATCAGAGACACAAGCGTCAGCTGGATAACCTGATGAACGAATCTCCACTTAAAGCAAAGGTCAGAAAATTCTCCCAGGCAGCATATTTAATAGTAAACTTATAGAGACCAGGTGCCTATCTAAAGAAGAAAATTTCAAGGCAGGAAGGAGGAAAGGTGGAGACAAGCCGGGCAGTGGGGAAGCAAGTCCAAGGTGTTAAAGCACCTAGTGTTTTCTGGACGATGATCCTGTCTATGTGTAGAGCCATTTCTGATTTGAAAACGGAGACATTAAGATCCTCGGGTCATAAAGTCTCTGCTCCCAAAGAAGATTCCCTCTTATTTCTGACTTTCACGTGTGGTTAAGAGAAAATACTCTCCATTGCGTTCTTCACATAGGAACTCCACAATGATTGATGCCTCTAAGTGCGGCTCTCATAATTTGATCAGATAAAGGCAGTGAATTTGGTCAAATTATAAATCATCAGGAGAGTATGCTAGCTTTTATTTTCTCCCAATTTGACCTCTGAAAATCCTGACGGTGCTTTATTATCGAGTTTCAGAAGTCAGTAAAGTATTGCAGACACTTTCATCTCATTCGGGTCCTCATTTGTACTCATGTCAATATCATCTAATCTTTTCCTCTGAGCTAAAGACACCCATGGAAGGAGATTAGGACTACCCCAAATATGTTAGTGGACTGGGTTCAGTGTTTGCTGCTCCCATTTTGAAAAAGACAAATTCACTTTTAAAAATGTTTTTTAGAGACATGCCTTCAGTACTAAATGTGTGTGTGTACGTGCGCACGCGTGTGCGTGCCCGTGAGTGCATTTGTGTGTAAGGTGTGTTCAACTCTATGTTTTTATTTGTTAGGGAGAAATGTTGGGAAGTGGGCAAGGAAAATACATTTCCCTTCTTTTTAAGCACGCTTGTTTCTTCAAAATCCTTTCTTCATTTTGGAGAAAGGTCATTTATTTCTAGGTCTGTGAGACATTTTCACAAAACCAAACACATATACGGATAAGTAGTAAGGGGCCATTAATAAGCCATTACAGGGAATCAAATTACTATTTCTATATCACACCATCACTGGTCTCAAATACTGGCTAATTTTGTAGAGAACTGTGAGTGTCCTAGCTTTCCTGCGTTTATACAAAGCATTTCATTACAGGATGATTTTTTTTTTTTTTTTAGGTTGAACTAGCATTAATGGTATGTCACTTTAATACACTTTGGCAGATGGAGTCTCTTATAGTTAACAGCATTTTTAGCTGATCCTCTGAAATGATTCTGAAAAAATGTGGGTAGTAGTTAGTCTTAAACACCATATGAAGATACAGTGCAGTATTTTTCAATAGTGGCTCTCCCCAGCCCTATAATTTGGATGCTTCTTCAGGATACCTTACGGAGGGGATATTTTTAATGCATTTGGGGGACAACAGACCAAGTGGCTTTTCCACTTTCCTCAAATCTCTTATTTTTAACCTCGACAATTACCTTTGAAGATGGGATTAAACATTGGACAGGAGACTGTGTACAAAATGGGATCATTGAGGGATTTTTCACAATCTACATAGCACTTTTCCTCAAGTTTGAGGATGTGATTTCCTTTCACTTCGACTGCTAAAGTAGATTTAAACAAGACATCAGTTTTCTGTATCTAACCAAATTGTGTGGTGCACCAATGACAGGAAAATAAGAGGCTATTGATCTTACATTCTGATACTAGCTTCTTAAACAGAGACACATACACACATATATGCTGCATTTGCCAAGAAATTCCGCCCCCCCCCAGCTGGGGAATGGAACAATTATTTTCTAGGAATGCTGAATCATAATAGTCTACTACTGTATTTTTATGGATAAAGTTAATGTGATGATCATGAAAAGTGAGAGATCAAGTGGAGTAAAGTCAGTAGCTATTCAAGTTCAATCAATGTCAGACTTAAAAATCGGGATAAAAACCTTAAAAAATGGTTTATCCAAACTCTTCCCTGATGTTAAACTATATAATGAATCTATCTGGAGAAGCAGAACAAGGCAGAAGTGAAATTTCATTTAACTCTGCAATACTAGTTTAAATTCATAACAGAATGGCTTTGAAGACGTGATAGGCTGACTTATAATGAATTAGAAATTTCTGTGTTTTTTTTTGTAAGTTTAACCTTTGCCAAACTGACAAAAGCTGCGGGTTAAATCATAACATCTTATCTTCCTGGGGAAACATTCTTTTCACACAGAAAATGCTTCACTTCGACAGGAAAAGCTGCCGGCCTTATTGCACACCATTGCAAAGTTATTCTCATTATCTCTTAACATTTCCTGATTGTCTACTTTGTCAGGGACTGAACTAGAACTTTCATACGCATCACCTCATTTAATGCTAATGAGCTTCTGTGGCTACAGACTTTTAATTCCACCTTACAGATAGAGAAACAGTTTCAGAGAAGGTGAGTAACTTGCCCAAGATTACACAGCCAGTGTGTGAAGGGGAAAGAGCTGACATTCAGCCCAGATGTATCTGATTCCCAAGTCCAAGTTTCTTATGCTCTGAAACCGGGGGCATACTAAACCTAACACTTTGCTTTTTATACTGAGCTGCTTTATTTTACTCCCTCGGAGAATCATCAAAGATCTTTTCCTCAGAGCCTTTGCCAATAGTTTGGAAATAGAGACATTTATCTCCTGTTTGAAGATAGTAATTCACAACCTTAAATTCCTTTGTGTTGAATGCCTTGTACTTAGTAGGCATTATATCAAATTGCAGGTGCATAGAGATGAAAGAGAGAACATTGTGATTGAGACGGCACGAATAGTATCACTGGAAACACTTTTGTCCTTATAAACTTGAATTTTCCATTCAGATCACTTTTGAATCAAATGTTCTCCATTCAGATCTGAATATTTTTCCGGGGGCAGCATAGTAGGAGGACCGTAAGCTCATCTGTCCCTAGAACACAAGTAGGTAACTATCAAAGTGTTCTCAATACCCCAGAAATCAACTTGAATATTTTTCCTAAATAAAGTCTTAAAATTCCTGATTTACAGAATCTACATATGAATATTAGGTCTTAGAAGCTATACTGAAGAATTATGTTAATAAAACTGCTATCAAATGGGGGGGCATTTTCCTTTTTCTTTTAATTAATTTATTTATTTTAGAGAGAGACTGCAAGCCGGGGAGAGGGGCAGAGGGAGAAGGAGAGACAGAATTCTTCAAGCCGACTCCCAGCTGAGTGGGGAGCCCGATGCAGGGCTCGATTCCAGGACCCCGAGATCATGACCTGAGCTGAATCCAAGAGCCAACTGACTGAGTCACCCAGGTGCCCCACAGGTGGAGGATTTTCATAGAGATCATGCCACACTGTATCCACCATTCCATTTTTCCATCACTCTCTGTTTTCCCAGTCAGGATATAAACCCCTTAAGGTGATCCAATTCAAGCCTAATTTTAAGACATGTCCTCCTTTCATCCATATCTTCTTTGTTTCCTTTTCCTCTCTCCTCCCCTACTTTTATATTGCCACCTAGATCAAAACAATGCTTTCAGTATTGCACAAACACTAGGTGATGTTTCATCAACTGAAATTTTATTAGTGGAATAAGAAACTTTTATTATCAAACATATTCCCTTGCTGCATTTTCTCTAAAAATAGTAACAGACTTAAAACAATAACAAACACATTGAATTTAAAAAGTCCTCCTACAAAGCCAATTCTTAATCTTAGTCTTTAACTGATAGTAAAATG